CCTTTTTTTTTTTTTTTTTGCCGTCATACATCCCACATGCAAGCATGCACTTCGAAAAGAGTCAACGATTAAGCGTTCTGTGGACGATTTGGAACTTTTCAATGATCAGCGCCGAAAAAGTGCCAGGATCATTCGATTTTTGTCATCACCGTGGAGTGGATTTCGGCTGTTAAGTAATCTAAGTAGCAACTAACGAGGAATGCTTTACTTCCGAAATTTGAGAAATTGCAGTCTTTCTTTATAGCTGACTTGTATTACCATGAGTGGTGCCTGATAAAACTGGCACTTGAAAAGTTGAACAGAAGAGAACACTTGCTCGACTGTGAAGCCAACTCAAAAGTAATTTGCTAACGGAGGAATTTGTGACATCGCACCCCAGTCCAAAGACTCACTTTTCTCAAGAAAAACAAAATGGACTGTATCTACGCCAAAAAATTATGACTGACTAACAGGACAATTCTCAGCAGTTAATGTAGAAGTTTAAGCTGAATTCTTTTCTTCGAATTCGCATCTGTAGATCACTTTTCCAGAGAAAACAATGCTAAATAGCTGGGCCCGGCGTTAAAAAACATAGCAGGGAATCATCACACTAGCTGGCGGGCAAAAAAACCAGAAGGACTACAATTATGTATTCTGATAAACTCATTTCGGAAAAAAAAAACCTTGAAAAACTAGAAATTTGATTAATATTGAGTCATTTAGCCGAAATAAGAACCTCAACGCTTAAAAAAATGGCTAAAGAAAACGAATCCTGTCAGAACTACAGACTTCAGGAAGTAGTTAATCATTATGCATGGAACAGACCAGCTTCATGGCCTCTTAATGTGAGACAAGCAGCCAAAATCAAGTTTAACATAGTCAGAGTTTAAGAATCTCCATGGTATAATCTACCCGCTAGAAAGAAAAGACAGAAAATCTCTGAGGGATGAAAACGCGAAAGTCACGTTTCACTAGCTTATGATTGTGTTTGGCCTGTCAACAACGAACTTCCTGCTGTTTGATGAAGAACAATAGCACTGTCAGTTCGTCGTTGTGATTGGCTAAGAAATGATCTTTACACTTGCTGGACAATCTCAGCGATTGTCTCATATATGCACTGAAAAATTTTCAGGTGCATATCGCTGAGATTGTCCAGCAAGTGTGAGGATCATTTCTTCAATTCATTCCTTACAGTACTAAGCGCCTTACTTTTGCCACTCGAGAAAGTTTTTGATTAAATTTTGACATCTTTTTGACAACTTTTTGCTAACTTCAAAGCGAGCCAGCCAATCAGAACATGAGAATTTCCAAGGGCGGAGATGTCAAATAATAAGTTCATTCACAACAAGAGGACGAAAATGGCGTTTCAGGTGAAAGTGGAATACGGAGGGAAACGCTTCGCAACTTTTCTCTTAGAAAACGTATCATACGATGGTCTTGTAAGTAGCATAAGAAAGAATTGTTCTTCATTGGCTCACCTGGACGAAGATAAGATTAGACTTCGCTACCGTGACGAGGATGGCGATATGGTGAATGTTTGTCAAGCAGATTTGTTTGCGTTCTCGGAAATGCTTCGCACGTCCAAAGAAGTGAAAAACTACAAGAAAATATTCATTCAAGCCAACGAAATTGACTCTCCGTGCCCGCGCAAAATGAAGCGAGTGGATTCTGGCGTGGAAAATCCAAGTACCGGCGACGAACTTAGTTGTTTAGAACCCAAACAACTGTCATTTTATGCGCCAACTTTTCCGTCAGCAAGTTGCACTGAAGACGCGCGAGCGAGTCCCACATCAGCTCCAAATGACCAGCAAGGATGTAGCCCGTTAGATTCAAAACAACAGGAAATGAAAGACAGTCTTACTGTTTTGCAAGTGCAGATAGTTACTGCAAAGGAAGCACTGCAAAAACTTAATCAGCTAGAGAACGAGTACGTGACACTCTCAAGTCTTCGAGGACGCGTGTGCAATAGAGCGTTTTCACATGACGTCACATTTTTCGCGGGAAATTTGAGTCGCCATGTTGGTGTTCCACATTTTTCAACATTGTGGGATATCCTCTCTCAGATTATGCGAACACGCTCGATCCCCACGTGAAAAAACGCTATGTAGAGAAGATTTCTTGTGTTGGAATCGATCCTGTCTTGATACCAGACAAAGCGTACGATCCAGAGTGCCTGCCTCCTGTCGACTCCATGGATTTATTGTCGTTTTTGGTGCTCGACACGAGTTATTACAGTAAGGACCAATTTAAGGATTATAGAAGTTAGCAGTCTTATAACCAGTTGGTTTCAGGATTTGTAAGTAGCGTTAAAGGACAAAAAATAGGCAACAAATACATAGTGTCTGGGAAAGTCAGACATTCACAAAGAATGAACGATCCATTTGTCGCACTTTGGACAATAACCGAACACAATGGTACGGTTCTCTTCGCTCACTGTGTGGGATGCATGGCGGGTCAAGGGGAGTGCTGCTCGCATATCGCAAGTGTTTTGTTCTACATCGAGGCATGGAATCGGATAAACGAAAAATTAACCTGTACACCGGTAAAATGCACTTGGCTGTTACCCACCGCTGTGAAAGAGATTGCTTATGCCCCAATCGATGACATTGATTTTCGCTCAGCAAAGAAACTTAAGCGAAATTTGGATGAAACCATCAACAATTTGACGACTACCAAAGGAAGTACAGGCAGTCATTCTAGTGAGGTGGCGAAGGTGGCAGCTCCCGTCCCAGGTGATACTGAACTAATGAACTTTTATGCAGAACTGAATTCTTGCAAGACTAAGGCTGCGGCTTTAAGCTTGATTCACCCCTTCTCGGATGCTTTTGTTTCTAAGAGCAGAAACGTACCAACTATCTCAGATTTATTTGACAAGAAGTACCTAGACTTCGAGTATCATGACCTACTCAAGGCGTGTGAAAAAATTTCCCCAAAAATCACTGATGAAGAGGTGAGGCTCATAGAGGAAGATACCAGAAGCCAAATCACTGATGAAGAGGTGAGGCTCATAGAGGAAGATACCAGAAGCCAGTCAAAGGGCTCTACCTTCTATCGTCACAGGGCTGGGAGAATTGGGGCATCAATTAGCAAAGCAGCATGTCACACAAACCCAGCACAGCCCTCACAATCACCAGGAGCCCATCAAATGGAGCCTCCATCTCCATTACTTTCTTGAGTCAACCCTTTCCCGAGTAGATATATAAATAGAACGGCTTGTTTCCCGCGAAAAGTGTCGAATTTCCGTGAGTCTCGTATGTCACCGTGAAAAAATAAAGTTGGATGAAGTCGAACTCAGAAGCCTGTCCTTTGACCGTTTTCCTTTTTTACTATACGTCCATTTTTACGATTTTACAGCTGCTGGGATCTGGGTATCATGAAATAAAAGTTAATGAATTACCCGACTGAGACTGAGCATGAAGCAATGGGACAAAAGCAGCGAACTGAGGATCACGGAAAGGTTATCTGTCTTACCTTTGCCAGTCCTTTTTTTTTTTTTTTTTGCCGTCATACATCCCACATGCAAGCATGCACTTCGAAAAGAGTCAACGATTAAGCGTTCTGTGGACGATTTGGAACTTTTCAATGATCAGCGCCGAAAAAGTGCCAGGATCATTCGATTTTTGTCATCACCGTGGAGTGGATTTCGGCTGTTAAGTAATCTAAGTAGCAACTAACGAGGAATGCTTTACTTCCGAAATTTGAGAAATTGCAGTCTTTCTTTATAGCTGACTTGTATTACCATGAGTGGTGCCTGATAAAACTGGCACTTGAAAAGTTGAACAGAAGAGAACAGTTGCTCGACTGTGAAGCCAACTCAAAAGTAATTTGCTAACGGAGGAATTTGTGACATCGCACCCCAGTCCAAAGACTCACTTTTCTCAAGAAAAACAAAATGGACTGTATCTACGCCAAAAAATTATGACTGACTAACAGGACAATTCTCAGCAGTTAATGTAGAAGTTTAAGCTGAATTCTTTTCTTCGAATTCGCATCTGTAGATCACTTTTCGAGAGAAAACAATGCTAAATAGCTGGGCCCGGCGTTAAAAAACATAGCAGGGAATCATCACACTAGCTGGCGGGCAAAAAAACCAGAAGGACTACAATTATGTATTCTGATAAACTCATTTCGGAAAAAAAAAACCTTGAAAAACTAGAAATTTGATTAATATTGAGTCATTTAGCCGAAATAAGAACCTCAACGCTTAAAAAAATGGCTAAAGAAAACGAATCCTGTCAGAACTACAGACTTCAGGAAGTAGTTAATCATTATGCATGGAACAGACCAGCTTCATGGCCTCTTAATGTGAGACAAGCAGCCAAAATCAAGTTTAACATAGTCAGAGTTTAAGAATCTCCATGGTATAATCTACCCGCTAGAAAGAAAAGAAAGAAAATCTCTGAGGGATGAAAACGCGAAAGTCACGTTTCACTAGCTTATGATTGTGTTTGGCCTGTCAACAACGAACTTCCTGCTGTTTGATGAAGAACAATAGCACTGTCAGTTCGTCGTTGTGATTGGCTTTTCCCACCGTCGGCGCGCGAAGTCTCCTCTGGGAACCGTTCTAATTACAAATCTACTCGGGAAAGGGTTGACTCCAAGGGCTTGTATGGGAGATGGAGGCTCCATTTGATGGGCTCCTGCAATCACTTATTAAAACAATTTGTTACCCAAACATTTTCACATTTAGTACAGAGGCTACAAAACATGGTTGTAAACATGAAAGTGCTGCTATTGAAGCTTATGAAAAGATCATGAAGGAAAAGCACATCAACTTTCAAGTAACGAAATGTGGCAAGTTTATCAATAAACAGTATCCATGGTTACATGCCACACCTGACTTTTTGTGTAGGTGTGATTACTGTGGGGATGGACGTGGGGAGGTAAAATGCCCCTATTGTTTAAAGGATACAGACTTGGAGCAGTTTATTAACAAATACAACTCTTGTTTGAAGTCAGAAAATGGAGATGCAAGTCTAAAAAGGGAACATGCCTACTATTACCAAACCCAACAGCAAATATTCACTACTGGAAAGCTTTACTGTGACTTTGTCGTTTGTGGTTTTCATGAGCAAATTGATCTCTTCTGTGAAAGAATTTTGCCTGATGTCAGCCACTGGCACTCTTTTGTTTCCAAACTTAATCACTTCTGGAGATACTGTGTGCTACCAGAAATTCTGGGAAGGTGGTATACTCAAAAGCGCAGTTTGTCTCATTCATCACCTGATCCCAATTCTGCTTGTTTTTGCAGACTGGCAACTGGAGGGCCTGTGGTAACATGCACAAACCAAGCATGCCCCATTTCTACTTTTCATTTATCTTGTTTGAAAATTACAAAAGTACCAAGCAAGTGGTTTTGCCCCCTGTGCCAAAAAACACCAGCAGCCAAAAATGAAAAATCAAAATGCAGACAGACAATAGATATTTTGGATGAAGCTTTCAAATTAGATTTTATCTGCACGTGCAAACAGAAGCCACTGTGTTCAGATAAACTGCTGAAATGCCATAACCCATTTTGTCAAAGAGGAAAGTTTTCTCATTTGCTCTGCTTAAACTTCAAGCGGATGCCGAACAATGCAATGACAACTTGGGAATGTATGGTATGTAAATCAGGAGGAAAAACTGAACAAAGCAAAAAAGTTGTTAATGACTCGATCTTTCAATACATCTGATGATGGAGTTGTGATAACTGGAGTTTCAAAATGCTCTTCAGAAAAGTCAGCATCACTTGCAAAGCTGAGGGATGGGCATTACCGACTGATTTCGTCACCCAATGGTTGGCTTGACTGTGACATTATCTATGAAGTACATGTTTGTCTCAGAAACATTAATCCAGATGTGGAGGGCTTATAGAGACCAACTTTGGGCCCTGTCAGAAACTTCAATCAAGTTAATGGGGAATTTATTCAGATTTTGCATACTGGTAATGCCCACTGGGTATGTGTAGGCTCAGTAGGGTGTGAAGATGGCACTGTCAACTTGTATGACAGTCTGTATCATAACATTATTCTAAATGAAGTACAAGAGCAGGTACTCAATCTTGTTGAACATTCAAATTTTACTGGCATTCAAGTTCTCCCTGTTCAACAACAGTCAAATGGCAGTGACTGTGGAGTATTTGCTGCGGCCTTTGCTACATGTCTTGCTTATGGTATACACCCTGAAACAGTGCAATTTGATGTCCCTAAAATGAGAAACCATTTATATCAGTCTTTAAAATCTGGTGTATTGAAGATGTTTCCTACATTTTAGACTGCATAAGGTACATCTTTGGTTAAAAAAGTTTTGAAGAGAAAGAATAGCTGCTTTATTATAGAGAAAATAATATAGTTGCCCAATGGACCTGCATATTGGAAAGGAACAATCAATTCACATAGTAATTTTACCCAAAATATAACTAACCTGATAACTTCATTGATCACTAAGTTCTTGATTGACAAACACGGGAATCATTGTTGCCATTGTGTATGAACAAGACAAAATACTGCTGAAATACCAGGATATAATGCTTATCCCATGCTTAAACAGTAGCGCCTCCCGAAAACCTTAGATCCAAAACCTTTATGTAGTTATTCAATGAGCAAATAGTGCTATCGTATATAGTGGACTACATGTATTAAATTACTGGTATCTAATGTTTGGCTCTCAGCGAATGAAAATCATTTAGAGGATAATTCTATCTGCTTTGATAATGATGAAGATGATGATGAGACCTTTATTCAAGTGTCAACGTGTACTAGCACTAAGTGAGGACACTAAAATAAGGTTTAAAAGAATAAATAAATTAATTCATTCATTAAAGATGTAAAAAACCAGAATGTGCAGAGTGTGCAAATAATAAATTCAGGAGAACTGTAAAGAATATGAACAAATGTAGCTATTACAGGTCAAATTTTACTTTAGGTTAATTTTGATTTAACCAAGGTTGATTCTCCCTTTCCTTTGTTTCCTAGCCCTAAGTGAAACTATTGGATGATATAGTGGAAACAGCTCAAGCCCGAGGCCAAGGCTTTGAATATTGATGACAAAGATTCAGAATGCTGAAACTCGAGAAAAAAAAATTATGCATGACTAAATTTTGTATTGTTTCACTTCATTCTACATTGCTATGCTTTTGTGAAGTATTATTGCAGGGTGAAGCCATTACAGTACAATACCATACATAACTTTGTCGGAGTATTAAATATCAATTCTGTCTCACTAATGTATGCAAACATATAAATGTCTTATAAAAGCTGATGAGCATACTCAAAGGGAACAACAGATGGGGAAAGATTTGTAAGGGCTGCACAAACCCTGATCATCCTGTCAATAAGTGGAATTTTTCCACTTTTCTCTGAACATGTCAAATAATCCATTGGTAGTATTCGTTGCAGGATAGAATATTTTTGCCTCAGGAGTCCAATTACACGCTCGACATGTATTCGCACATTCGCAATTTCTCGTGTTCGTTCCACATCAAGTGGATCAAGTTGATTCTTTCCTCTAGTGAAGGCAGGGATAGCTTACTGTGCCTGGTAG